CACCTAAAATATTACAGAAAATATATTAGGGAATCCAGGAAATTTCCAGCTTTTAGGTAGGAGAAACACACGAAGTGTTTAGCTAATAAAGTGAACCGCAGTTTTCTGAGACTAGAAGACCACGAACTATGCCTACCTCTCACTTGTAATTCCTCTGCCGGGCCCTTGCGAAACAATTTTGGAATCTTCCTGTACACTAAACGTGCATGAAAGAATAAAGTAGCAAACTTGTTATACAAAATCGGAGCATTCCTCTCCCAATAGATAAAAGGAAAATAAATTGGGAAGCTGTAAATAACAATTAAGTGAAAACGTTACCTCTCGCCTGTATGAGACCAAGACAGAGCAGAATGAGCAAGCAGGTTTTCAGATACATTGTTCTTGCTTGAGTTCGTTAAACCTGGAGTTGAGTGGATTTTAAGAGAAACAAAAGAATGATCTCTAAACAGTTGCTTGTATGATACATAACTGTAGACTAATATGCCATTTCCCAATTACCTTTGGCCTGATTTTCAAATCATCCTTTGATATGGTTATAAGTTTGCATTCACATGCAAATGAACTAATTTTCATACGAATGGTTGAGCATCAGGCCTCATTTGGAAACGTGGCAAAAGGTCATCTATTTTCGTATTTTCCCATATTCCTTTCATCTTGTGGTCTCAAGAGGGAGTTTTCGACCGTGGCGGGCAAGTAAACCAAAATCGACACTGATTCGTGTGAGGGGCTGAATAGGTGGTAAAATTTCCTCACAGCCCCATGCTATTGTAAAACAAATCTGTTTTCCCAATAGCAATGTATTGTTTTTGTCATTGTTTTCTCTGTCCAAGAAATGAGTGCATAATGTAGTATGGGGCTGTGCGGAAATTTTACCGAATGAGGACACAACCTGTCTCGTCGATCCATCAATCTGTTTGAGCATTCATCACTAAGCCCATAACGAGCCAACTGACTTCGAACTATTAAAAGTTTTAATTCAGCCGTAAAATTATGCTCACACGCCCCTTATTTTTGTATTATCTGACCTTTGCATTTGTTATGGAAATTCATTTCGGTTGTTTGTTCGCGAGAAATAAATAAATAAATGGAAGACAATTCGTGAACGATGTATCTGTGTACACAATGCTGCAGCAGTTCACATTTCAGAAAAGATTGCAATACGCTATCAAAGAAATGTTTTAAATGGGTTGCAGTGCACAGTTTTTCATGCGGTATTCCAGTGAAGTAATCTCTCACTGCCCTTTGCTTCAGGTTTTGCGTCGCCCTTGACTTATTTCACCTTATTTTTTATTGACCTATTTCAGAGGGCCTTTCTGCAATTAATAACCACTGAGCCTTGACAACAATGTTTGACCCACCTCTGCTCATTTTAGCAGAAAGAAATTGTTAACATGCCAAAGAAAATTTGCAGCGAGAGTTGCGTTCAATAAAATAAAAAAGGATTTTGGGTAAGAAACTACTAAATCTGAAAACTCAGCAGACTTTATCCACAACTCTTGTGGGGATGTAGTATGCTTTTATTACTTTTATTGGTTGTGTGTGCATGAAATATGAATGTTGAACCCACTGCAGTGACAGTATTCTATTTGCACATTGCCTTTTGATGCGGTTTTCATAACTCTTTCTTGCAGTATCAAAACTCATAAATGTCCAACCCCTTCGTGATGTTTCATGAATACTTTTGTTAAAACAGATCAAAGATTTCAGATTGCCGCCGAATTAAGTACCCCCTTGATGAATTAACATAAAACAAACGTTAAATCAGTCGCGCCAAGATGATTTCAGAACGAAAAAGAAAGAACATTTATGGCAATAAGGCTAGAATTGTAAGGGAAATGGTTTCGAAATTTCTGACTTCGGCTTTTACCTCTATCGACTGTATTGTCAGTTAAAACGTCTTACGTGAGCTTGTGATAGTTGAGAGGTATTGACTACCGCGCCTAATAAGAATTGAACTCATGCTCAGTCCGAAAGATCATTCCGCATTAACACCTTGAAACATATCGACGTTCAAATCCTTGAATTTCCAAAATAGTTTGTCACATGAATCTCAAAATTTTAGAAACCCCGACCAACAATTCATCGACAGAGTGTGAGAGGTATTAACGAAAAGATCACCAGATGCAACTCCTGTTGCATCAAAAATCGCGTCATTTTTTTTTCTGTACTTGCCAGGATCACTTCTTGAAAACATTAACACAATTCTGTTACCGAGTTTGGAATTGTAGCCATCCCTAAATTCATGAACTTATCGAGTAGGGCTTACCTTGGCAGGTTGGTCGTCTCGGTAGCGTTGATGTTCAGTTTTGGCGTAGCCTGAATTATTGCGCAATGATTTGAATCAAGAGACTCCTTTGTACTGTATGGTAATTACCTCTCACAGATTTCGTTACAACCTCCATACACAATAGAACGTTCGAGCTATTATTAAGGACAAGATCAATAGTTGCGACATTATCTCTCTCCTGATAACAGCGTCTTTCATTCTTTAACCGAGTTAGGAATTGTAGCGATCAATAGATTCGTGAACTTATCAAGCAATGCTTACTTTAACAGTTGGTTTGTCTCTGTAGCACTATTCTTCGGGTTTGGCGCTGCCTAAGTTAATGTGCAGTGATTTGAATTTTGCAGAGCCTATTGGTGCGGTAAACTAATTACCTTCTACTATTACGCAAAGACTTAACTAGGTTTTTTAGCTTTCTTTTTTCTGGAAATGAATGTCGCATGCAGGCATGACTATAATTAATTTTCTAAAAGAGAACAACTGTAAGTCCCTCGTCTCCCGTCGATTGATATCTAGTTCTTTTGGTAACAGGGGAAAAAGCAGCAATCGTAAAGTCTTTGATGGGCAATGAGACGGAACTTGGCATATTCTCTGGACATTTCTACATCTTACATCCGCCCTTTTGTAAACAACAGAAACCAAAAACTTAATCATTGGCAGGCGAATTAATGTGAACGGTCTGAGAGCGGTCTGACAAACGTGCAGGAGTGAGAAAAAGGGAGGAGTTAGTTGCTCACGCGCCCCTCTTTTCGCATTATCCGACCTTTGCATTTGTTATGAAAATTAATTTCAGTTGTTTGTTCGCAACAAGTTATTAAGTGAAAGACAATTCGTGAACAATGTATCTCAGTACAAAATGCTGCAACAGTTCAAATTTAAGAAAAGATTGCAATATAACGCTAAAGAAATATTTCGATAGATTTCCACTGCCATGCATCAAGCAAAATAAATGGGGTTGCAGTGTTGCTTAGTATTTCATGCGGTATTCCTGTAAAGAAATCCCACATTGCGGTATGGAAATGATCTCAAATCCTGTGACGTGCTTTACTTCAGGTTTTGCGTCACCCTTGACTTCGTGTCTTCCTCAGAGTGCCTTTCTGCAATTAGTAACTGGTGAGCCTTGACAACCTTGTATTACCCACCTCTACTCATTTTAGCAGAAAGAAATTGTTAACATGCCAAAGAAAATTTGCAGCGAGGGTTGCGTTAAATAAAGTAGAAAAGGATTTTGGACAAGAAACTAATAAATCTGAATAATTAGCAGACTTTATCTACAACTCTTGCAGGGATGTAGTATGCTTTTATTACTCTTATTAGTTGTGTGCGCATGAATTATGAATGTTGAACCCATTGCAGTGACAGGTTTCTATCTAAAAATTGCCTTTTGATGCGGTTTTCAGAACTTTTTTTGCAGTCTCCTTCGTGATGTTTCCTGAATACTTTTGTTAACACAGATCAAAGATTTCGGTTTGCCGCCCAATTAAGTACCCCCTTGATGAATTAGCATAGAACAAACGTTAAATCAGTGGCGCCAAGATGATTTCAGAACGAAAAAGAAAAGAACATTTATGGCAATAAGGGTAGAATTGTACGGGAAATGGTTTCGAAATTTCCGACTTCGGCTTTTCCCTCTATCGATGTGTATTGTCAGTTAAAACGTCTTACGTGAGCTTGTGATAGTTGAGAGGTATTGACTACCACGCCTAATAAGAATTTACTCATGCTCGCTTCGACTGATCATTCCGCGTTAACATCTTGAAACATATCGACGTTCAAATCCTTGAAATTTCAAAATAGTTTGTCACATGAACCTGAAAATGTCAGAATCCCCGACCAACAATTCATCGACAGAGTGTGAGAGGTATTAACGAAAAGATCACCAGATGCAACACCTATTGCATGAAAAAGCGCGTGATTTTTTTTTTCTGTACTTGCCAGGATCACCTTCTTGAAAACACTTACACAGTTCTGTTACCGAGTTTGAAATTGCAGCCATCCCTAGATTCATGAACTTATCAAGTAAGGCTTACCTTGGCAGGTTGGTCGTCTCGATAGCGTTGTTATTCAGTTTTGGCGTAGCCTGAATTATTGCGCAGTGATTTGAATGAAGAGACTCTTTTTGTACTGCTGCTTAGCCTATAAAAGGGTTAACCCTTTACCCCCCACGAGTGACAAAGAGAGAATTTCTCCTCACAATATCAATACAATATTAAGCATAGAAGTGATGAGAATAAATTAAAACATCAATTAGGGGATTATTAGAAGATCCAATGCCAAATTCTCCAAATTGACATCATAAGAATTGAATGTCAGACAATATAGAGAATTACTCATGAGATCTCGGGAGTTAAAGGTTTAACCTCTCCAAACAAGCTGATAACATATAGATATACACGCATTGATGATCACATTCATCATTTAATCTTTCTAACACTTTTGAAAACATTTGCTTAGCCTTGAAATCATCTCGCCATGTCATCCTCTGGCAGTCTTTCATTTGAAATTTTTTTGCTAGATGGTTAGGAGAAAAAAAGCTTTATTGTGGGAAAAAATTGTCGCGCAATCCACGAAAATTGCTGAATCGTTTCTGTTGACGGCATTTTATTTATGTGCAAATAAAGCAAAAGCTTTTCTTTCCCTAAAGAATCTGTGGGTCTTTGCATTGTAAGTTGAATCTCCAGGGACTGACTGAACACTTTTCACAGACTGAGTACATTTTTACATAGGTTTACGACAAATCTGTTTAAAGAGAATATTAATTCGCCTGAAAACACGCTCGGAAGGCTATTAAATCTAAGAACTTTCAAATTACAGGTTAGCTAAGCAAATTTCATTATTAATATGTTAATACAGTTTTCTTAAAACTTTAAAACTGAAGCATTCGTTTCTAACGTTCGTATGGGCGATATTGAGTAGCTACCACCACAGTCGTCAGACAGAATGAGATGTAAATATTCTTTGACAGCCTAACCACGCCATGGGTGAAAGTGAGCTAATAGTGCCTAGTTTCATTAAAGACGAATCCAAAAATTGGATGCCAATCTCTAGTTGGTCCGGCATTTACTACTAAGTAAAGATTTTCCCCTAAAATCAACTCCATCAGCCAAGTACGACTAATCAAGCGACGAAAGCAATGTTTTGCTCAATCAGTTTTTTTCTCTCAGCCACTGTTTTTTTTACATCATTGAAGTTAAGGTCGGGGAAAAAGAAGAACAAAACGAAAAGGTTGAACGAATCTTCTGACACTGCTTGGAAGAGTCAACGTAGATGTATAAAACATCGGTCGTCAACTTGGAAAATCAGTCACTCGGGTTATGAAAATTGTTTAATATTGCATGTTAATTAACATTATGACTGTAGTGCTTAAGCAACACCCTTTAGGTTATTGGAAACTTGGAGGGATTTAGTTGTCTTTCAATTTAATTTCTTAACTGTTCCGTTTTGCAGTCTTCGCTTCACTGTGCTTTTGCGCGCTCCAAACTCTGAATAGTAGGGATTTGTGTACAGTACACTGATCTATCAAGAGAGGAACACGCAATGGAGGAATACACTACTTGGTTAGAATTGCAGGGGGTATCTAACGAAGAAGTAAACGACAGGAAAGGTTAGTATGTAAAATGAAGGACGTTTAGGCCCAGAACGAAGCAGTAGTTCTAATGAGGCACATGACATTAATACTTCGTTCTGTTCGGGACTTTTATAGTCTAAACGTACCTCTTACGTCCCATTTGGTGACCTGTAGTCAAAACAATGTATTAACTATTGCATGCTTTTAAAGGGTTCAGGAGAATTAAAGAGCGAAATATTTATCTGTATAATTCCAAGTTTTCAGGTCAATTGTAAAATCGTATTTACCTTGAATATATATGTACAATAGACCTGTGGTCTGAGTTTTCGAAGTATTCTCACACATTTATGACGTTCTTTTTATTTGACTTTTACGCCAGCCTTTGAAGATAGCTTGAGAAAGACAATAAAGGATGGAGATTTTGATGAGATCAGTGACAAACTTACTCCGAGAGCTTTGACAAAATGTAACACGAACGCTCTGCTGATGGCTATGGAGGTAAAATGTATTATATTTACATTGTTTGAATGCTATAGACAGCAATATCAGAGAACATCCTGCAATAATTGGCACCGAATATTGCAATGAGACCATAAAAGGACCGACCTGTTCTATCGATAACGTTCTGATTTTCTTGATTCAACACTGAGGCAAGCGAATATTTCTTGACGAAAGTTTCGTATGATTTTTCAGAAAGTTCATTAAAAATACCCTCTGTCAAATTCATTAACTTTATGCAATTAAGCCATAAACAGCATTTTCTATCAATTTGCCGGCGTGATAACCCACGCAAGATGTTTGGAGAACACGAAAAAAATTTGTAAATCACGAGCCAGAGATGAGTGACTTACAAACTTTTCAAGCCTTTTCAAATGTTTCAATTTTCTATGAAATTACCGGTGCAATAAATGATAATTTTTTGACCCAACAGGGCTCTCGTAACATGTCAGTTATTTCATAAAGAAGAAAAAGCGGGGCGCCTTTCATGTTTACTATCGTTCTCGTGAAGAACATTAGGGCAAGGTATCGCATGCCATTTACTGCTATTTCTAATAAATTTTATGTTCACGATGTTGTTTTGTAAATCTATTTTGAGGTGACTTTTAAACTGCGACGATTAGCTGACAAAAAGGGACCGGACGAGGAGGATTTCAATAAGCTAGCCGCTTCTTTGGATGAATTTATTTCCCGCCTCTTTGATCCATTAAAATCAGGTGGACGATTACGTGATGTTTTCTTATCAGATTCCATTGACAACGTCATGGACGCTGCGATAGAGTTTAAACAAAAGAATGTAAGTGGAAATTACTTTTGTTTCTGGCCCTGATTTGAAAACTGGCGAGCCTCATTACCAAGCCTGTTGGCAGAACTTTCCTTTGCGGCAGTTCTACTGTAGCTTAGAGCCATATCAGGTTGTTTTACTATTGAGACTATCACTCTGTCCCTTTTTTTCTCAATTAGGAGGTGTAAACAAACTAGAATCTCCCAGGCCTTCTTCCTTCCAGCCATTCTCTTGACTAAGGCCGCCGTCTTGTGTAAAATTTTTTGTCGTATAAAGAACTGGATTGATGTTATTGCAATTGGCCTTGCCTCCTTATTACTATATATGACAGGGGTAATATATAAATTTTTAGCTGCCGTCAAATGGACAAAATTAAGGTTTGTTTGTTTGGGGCAGAGCAGATTAGTCATGATTAATTTGGTTTCACTGGAGTTTAAAACTCTGTGGCAATTTTCTTTTCAAGTTCTTTGCTCACCCAGTAATCAACAGCCAAATGACAAAGAAGTGGCATGGTGAACTTGGCTGGATGCGAAAATGTTCTTGGTTGAGTACTGAACGCTGGATATGGGTGTTCCTAAACGTCTGGTGTGTGTTTGATGTTTTTCTTTTCCCCATAATCTTCATTGTTTTTGGGGGATATCATTTAGCGAGGAAGAAGATGAGGAACAGAAAAGGTAATCTTGGATATGAAGAGACTTTAAGTTCTTCATCCCACTTTCTATGGTCAAATCTTGAAATTGTGCCATAAGGAAAGATACAATGCAAAGCTTTGTTGGCGCAATGAAAGCATTTTTCCTAAGGATTTTTTGCATTCCTTTTTAAAGGATTACTAAACTCCAGAAATTTAGCATATTGAATGATGATCTGCACCATGAAAAAGTTCAGCAAAGTTTTGTTTGTCGAAGTTGAGAAAGTTTTAACAACATGGCTTTGCTACGTTGAAGAAAAACTTTGTTGTGGATCTATTCTTAAAACCAATAGGTAATGCAGATATTATATCATTTTTGTTCTCGTATCACTAACGAATTAAAATTTTTTTCTTGGTTTCTTCTGACAAGGAATATTTCGCAACAAGGAAGACATATACGGTGAGTAAAACTATCGGCAGAAAATGTATTATATATACCTAATGCCTTCAGACTTCGATGGATAATTTTACTTGTTCTCCGATTATTATTTTTTGGCAGGAAGTTATCTCAAGTACTTCACCATCCCGTATTTCATCTTTGTCCGTGACACTTTCAGTTTCCTGGTCCACCTAGGACTACACTTCGCTACTTGTCTTGCGCCTTCGAGCATTTCAATCAGTAGACTAGAGTGGGCTGTCTGTGTGTTCTACATGGGTCGAATAGTAACTGAAATCAAACAGATAAGCGACACAAAGGTACTGCAAAGTGAAGAGTCAGACAAGCCGGGTATCAAGGAACCAATGACTTGTGGTAGTGTTGAAATTTTAACTGAGCTGAAAGAGACCAGTAATCGGAAATCAAAATCAACGTCGTTGGCGATGAGATTTAGTAAATACCTGAAGTAAGTATGTAAAGAACAATTATTGAATAAAACTACTTTTAACATTTCACAAAAACGTCCTAAGATTTTCAGGGTTTAGCAAACCAAGAGATTATAAACAGTTTATAATCTCTTGAGCAATCCCACTTAAATAGTTAGTAATTTATTGAAACATCTGTTTGACGGAAAGGTTATGAAATTACGCGTTACTCCAGAAAGTAAGTTGCAGGTTACTGATGTAAGGGAGATTTGCGATAGCAAAAGAAGTCCGGTTATATCTTTGAAAGATCGGTTATATCCCGGAAAGACCGGTTATATATTTGTGCACGAGATCTTTGATCTTTTATATTATCACCATAAATATTCCCTGGACACGTTAAGTCCGAGTATACTAATCCTAATCCCACCTACAAGTCGTGGCCCCAGAAACCTTGTGTTTCTGGTATCTCTAACCTCTTTTCCTCCCTCGCGTCCCCTGTAAGACTTCCCCCTCCAATCTTTGGTTGTCAAGAGAGGAGGACGATAACTTTACAGAAAAAAGAGGGGTGTTAGATTCCGGTTATGAGGAATAGTAGTACAATCTCCTGCTACGTCATCTAAGATCATGAAGCATTTATTGAAAACGGGCCCTAATCGATAAGAACTGAGAAAAAATGAGTGATATTTAGAATGAGAGAGAGCCTGATATACGCTAAAGAATCTCTTTAATTATGTGACTTTGCATATTTTTTGTCCTTCAGTGATCGTTGGAACGTCCTGGATTTAACCACAATCATTGTATACCTCACCATTTTTGTCTTGAGAATGCTGACATGGGCGGTATCAGACTCTGTGGTTAATAACAGAGCCCTTGTTATAACTGGTTATCTTTACGGCCTCAACACCATGTTCCTTACTTTCCGAGCCTTTGGTCTCGTGATGGAAATTACCAGAGGAGTGGGTGCCATTCAAATCGCGTTGTTTTTCATTCTTAAAGACGTGGCGATCATATTTTGGCAGTTTATCGCTGCGATTTTAGCATTTTCTATCGCTATAACCAAAGTATACGTTGCAGAAAAATCCTACCTCGTTAAGGAAGACCAAGACAAAAATGCGTAAGTGAGAGATAACGGAGTCAATCATTTAAACTTCCCTAGCGCAGAAAAAGGTTTATTAGATGATTAATTGTTTTCACTAAAAATGACATGATAACCTTAATGTATGAGACAATATCTAGCCCAGGTAACTAATTTCGGACTCTAAACAATAATCCGAATTAACCTGCCATTATTTTTTGAAAAAATCGCTTGAAAAAAAAGCACAAAAAAAAAAACCTCAGAGAAGAATCTCAAGCCAATGCAAGTTATCAAATCATTGTTATTGACTGGTACAAAATAAAGTTGTTTTCCTAATTATTGGAGTACATTAGAAGCAAAGCAATCCTAATAATAGCCTCTTTGTATCTTTTGCCATATAGGGCTTGCAGTGCAGCTGTTCTTTCCTGGTATGTTTTGTTTGGGTAACTTGATTTGCAACTCTTTTACGATGGGTGTGTTAATCGTATGTATGCTCAATCGAACCACACCGGTGCTTACATGTGGACTGTGCACTACAGTTTTATATCTATAGATTACAAAGTGAATCTTAACATTTAAAATTTCTGATTGTTGTAGTTGGTGGACTGTAGCAAAGCATCTATGTTGGTCCTTGTTGGGAATTGTAGAGCTTGATCCACTGGACTCGTCAGACAAATTATCAGTGACTGTGGTTCGCTTTTTGTATGGAGGTTTTATGATCATGGGAGCTGTTCTCCTTATGAATATGATGATAGCACTTCTATCAAACACATATCAACGAGTTGAGGTAATAATCTCTTTTTATTTTGGAATGATTTACCTGATCGTGTGTTTCACGCGTATTGCTTTGCATCCCCATACGCTTCGCTATCTTTGCTCGACATTTCGGTGTATTTCTTGAGAGATGGTTTTAGTTCCTTGATTTCTGGTTCTTTCTTGAAATTCTCTTTGGAGTCGTGCCATAAATGGAAGCTTTGAAAAAATTGGCTGAGAGGGAACAAGTGTCTCAGGCTAAACTGAATATCGGTGGTTTGAGAAATTTACTATATAGCGTTCTATTACAAATGCTGCAAACTGATTGGCTACGCTACTCGCTATCTAATTCGTGATAGACAGCGAGTAAAGTAACTCGCCTTACCGTACGAATGTAAGCAAAATAAAATAAAATTGATGGCCTGCTTGTTTTTTAGTTTTGAAAGAATGGTAGATTTGTACGAAACCAATGATATTATTTGCTCTTGATTTCCATGATTCTAGATTCGCCTTCATTAACTATCACGCCAAATAAATCTCGAGCTCATAATCTATTTATCAGGTAGATCAGCGAGTTGAATAAAGAGGAAGAGTACCTTACATTTTTCTTTCATTTTAAAGGATAATTCCTTAAAAGAATGGTCATTTCGTAAAGCCATGAGAATTCAGACGTACAGCTCATATGATCCCATTCCTGTTCCTTTTAACCTCGTCTCAAGTCTGCTGTTGGGTTTGCGTTCCTCTTTCCAATGTTTCTGCTTCTGCCTCAGGTGGAGGCGAGAAAGACAACAAGAGATCTACATAAAGGATGGAAATGTAAATGATTTGTAAAGTGAAGTCAATCTTAGTTGTAATGAAGCAGTAATAGCACATAATTTCCAATGAATACTAACTCTTCCAGATCATCTTTTCCTTTTTTCTTTTTTCTGTGAAGAGGAAAAATAACAAATAAACAAATCGATATAAAAAGAAACAAAACAAAACAGAAAAAAAAATAGAATTATTATCCTTTTTTAAGAGGACATAATGTCGGAATATCGCTAAATTTACTCTCGAGGATAGTATAGGATATCATAATGTTAGTTAAAGGAAACAACTTGACTTCAGATCAACGAGGAAACTATTACGCTCATAATATCAAACAAGCATTCGCAGTGCACGACGTTTTAAAGAAAATATTCTTATCTATTTTATATTGTTTATTTCAAACTTTTCAAAGCGCAACCTTGTGAAGCGACCAAGATCAATCCGAATATCACAAATGGAAGAGAAGATGCTAAAACTTAAGGTAAAGCTTTCATACTTTCATACGAGGCACACGAACCAAACTTCTCAGTGACATAGGATCACTGTAATTGTTGTTATTCAATTCCTGATTAATGAAAGTACGAGAAGCTGATTTTTGCTGTTGCACTCAAATTGCAGAGGGAGTCGTTAGATTTGGTTGTCAAAAATCTTCAGACCAAATATTTTGCAAGTTATGGGTACATATTTCCACTCACAGGTAACTGTTACAATAATTTTGATTTACCTTTTTTAATCTTGTTTAATTCTTTTTAAGTTGAAATACAAACATAGCCAGTATTAATCGAGATATGTAGAAATGATGATGCTATGGAATTATTTTGAAATATTTCGTTGTCTTTTGCTTAGAAAGAGAATATTCTTGCCTTTCTCATTTAAAACAGATCAAGATAAAATGGATCAAGTCTTTCAGGAAACTAGAAACCTTCGACCAATGACGAATCAAGTTGCTTACAACACCTTTATTTCGAATGGGTACGACAAATGTGTCTTACCAACGGGTCCGAAGGTGAGGTTCTTTCCGTTAATTTACGAAGTGGGTGCTTCATTAGCTCCGAAATAGTTCCTGTTTGGTTTTTAATGTATTGCGATCGTATGGCAAACGATAAACGACTGTAGTAGAAAACTTTTTCACTTAAACGTAGTTGATGAAAATAATCCTTATCCTACGTAGGGCACTTTTCAAACCAAAGCCAAAGTTAGAATAATAGCCAATCAGAGGGGAAGAAAATTTCAAAAAATACAATAAGAATTCAGAGCTAAAAGAAGCATACTACCTAGAGCGCGGAGGAAAGCAAGTTATCAAGTAACGATCGATTTTAGTTGTGATTTTGATTAGTTGATAAAGTGGCGCGAGTTTTATAAATCAATCACTCAGCAAACTATAGCGAAGAAAAACTAAAGCAATTCTGGATTGCCACCGACGCTATTGAAAACAGTTTAAAACCATTTACCAATCGGATTAAGTTCAGTCTGGACAAAGAGTTCCTTCTTATTAATAAAATAACTGCACCAGTATTGTTTCTGTGTTTTAATTCTTTCCTTTGAATGATAGGCGTGGAAGAGTGAGGGCATAAGGATAGAGGATTGCCTTCTCATGTACGAGGGAGAGGAAGTTTGCAAGACGTGCAAGGATCAGCCAACAGCCTCACAAAAGAATCATGGTGCCAGATATCTTATTCCTTTCACTACAGAGTTTCCTGGATTTGAGGTAAGAAATATACCAAAACAATATGAACGTGCTTTCCTGATCTTACTCATATTATGAAGTTCGGTCAGATAGAGGAAAGAGAGTTCAAAAAGACAATACAAACGCAATTTGAACCAATCATTTTATGCTAAGAGGGGACTTACTGGGCCTAAACAGGTAGAAAAATCAGTCGATTGTTCTTGTTATCGTAAAGATTTCCATTTTCAAGTTTTAAGAATGATCTTCTGTCGGAACTACTAGTAGTAGCAAAAAAAGTCATCAAACGTTCTTCAATATTTAACTTTTTTTTTTTCCCACATTTTTTTATTGCCATTTTGAAAATAAAAAAGTGTTTACAAGACTCTCAGTATACTCTATTTACATTTGTAAGCTATTATTAATTATAAATTACATTTATATTTTTAAATAATTCTATAATTATATTTGTAAATTATTATTTATTATAAATAAGTGCCATCTATATAATAACCACTTAGCCTCAATATTTAGCCTACTAGCTACAAGTATTCAGTAGGTGGTAATTGCCAACGCCGGATAATTTTCGTAACAAACTACCTGTTCTCATCCTCATTCTATTCTTATCCTTACAGCGTATGCGAATACGTTGTGGAACGATGTTTTTGATCATTTTCTGGTTCCTTTCTTTCCTACTTTTAGGTTCTCATTTTGGGAACAGGAGAATGTCGAAGTCTAGAGATGGGAGTGGCGGGAAAGAATTACGAATCTCATGTAAATCGGAGCCGAGGATGGACTAACGAATGTATCGGGTACCATATCAACGGAAATATTTTCAACGCTTTTACCGCAAACTCAATCATTGAAATTGAAGGTGCACAAGACAAATATGTATCACATATGAATCGTAAAGAATGTAATATTTGCAAAAGTGAGCTGTGCGGGCTATCACCAATTCAGACTATCGAGCCTATTCCGCTCCTTTATTCTCCAAACTATGGGGAATAAAGATATTTTCCGAGTTAATACCTTTGAAATTACAAAAATTCATGTTTGATTATCATAATTACCTATTCCCCACATTGCTTCTTAATCTTTTTGTAACAAATGGCCAAATTCATCGCTACTGTACCAGAACAGCTAGTAATTATCAAATGCATTTGTGCCTTACTAATCTCAAGCAATTTACAATTCTTTACCGAGGTCCTAAAATTTGGAACTCTCTTCCTGTTTCAGTGACTCTACAAGTCTTCTTAGTTTTATGACGAAGATGCAATAGTTTTTACTCAAAAAATCACTGAATTAGCCAAGCGGCACATTCGCAGCTCTTATTTTTTTCAATATATTACTGTAAGTGGTGGCCTTTCCCACAAGCCCAGAGGCTTCATGAGGTCTCCTCGCCTTCCAATTGTAATGCTGATCATTAATGTTTTTGAATTGTCACAAAGGCAAATAAAATGATGATCATGATGATAATAATGATGATGATATGCTTGAAATATATTTCTTTTTTCCTTTAAGTGGATAACATTGTACTGATACAAATCAACAGTTTATTTGGACAATTATCGCCGGGCCCAAAGTGGTTTTAGTTCTTTAACTATACTCAGCCTTGAAGAAATTATTTTTTATTTCAGATGCTATGGCTGATCGAGGCGATGTGATTGGTTGCATGGTGATGTTTGAAATGGCTGGAAATGGAGAAGTCCCTATTTTGTTTACTCTAAATGGCAAACAGATCACTCAAGTAACCATTTCAACCAATTTTGACGATAAGGAATCACTGTTGTTTCCATTCGTTAGTATGGGACACAAAGGAGTAACGGTGTCAGCTAAGGTTAGTTTTAACTTGTAAAAGAGTGGCTCTTACTTCTCATAGCTGATAATAGCCTAAGATTCACAGGCTAAGCGTCACATATGATACACGGGCATCGTGGCATATTGCAT